GTTCGTGGTTTACTCATGTTATCAAATACACTAGATACGTTGATTTTCAGTTTTCAATTCAATTTTATGTTTCTTCCTTAGATAACTATTGAAATTAAGTTATTTAAACCATTTATAACGATACGTGTATGTTGCTGCCTCATACACAAAATGTCTTCCATTTATTTATAATTCAACAGTGTGCCCGTTGAGGAGTGTTAGATCGCCGGATGTTCGATTTTTGCACCCTTGGAAAACTCATGAGCAATATAATACTTAGGCTTTCAGAATAGTTGGGCAAAAGTCAGAACACTCGAGTAGCCCAGAACAGCTAGACTTACACATTTGTACTTCAATGTGAAATTCCGTTTTGCATGTACATACTTCAATGTGACATTCTGTTTGGCATGTACATACTTCAATGTGACATTCTGTTTGGCATGTACATACTTCAATGTGACATTCTGTTTGGCATGTACGTGCTTCAATGTGACATTTTGTTTGGCATGTACGTACTTGTGACATTCTGTTTGGTATGTACGTACTTCAATGTGACATTCTGTTTGGCATGTACGTACTTCAATGTGACATTCTGTTTGGCATGTACGTACTTCAATGTGACATTCTGTTTGGCATGTACGTACTTCAATGTGACATTCTGTTTGGCATGCGCATACTTAAATGTGACATTCCGTTTAGCATGTACGTTCTTCAATGTGACATTGTGTTAGGCATGTACGTACTTCAATGTGACATTCTGTTTGGCATGTACGTACTTCAATGTGACATTCTGTTTGGCATGTACGTACTTCAATGTGACATTCTGTTTGGCATGTACGTACTTCAATGTGACATTCTGTTTGGCATGTACGTACTTCAATGTGACATTCTGTTTGGCATGTACGAACTTCAATGTGACATTCTGTTTGGCATGTACGTACTTCAATGTGACATTCTGTTTGGCATGTACGTACTTCAATGTGACATTCTGTTAGGCATGTACGTACTTCAATGTGACATTCTGTTTGGCATGTACGTACTTCAATGTGACATTCTGTTTGGCATGTATGTACTTCAATGTGACATTCTGTTAGGCATGTACGTACTTCAATATGACATTCTGTTTGGCATGTACGTACTTCAATGTGACATTCTGTTTGGCATGTACGTACTTCAATGTGACATTCTGTTAGGCATGTACGTACTTCAATGTGACATTCTGTTTGGCATGTACGAACTTCAATGTGACATTCTGTTTGGCATGTACGTACTTCAATGTGACATTCTGTTTGGCATGTACGTACTTCAATGTGACATTCTGTTAGGCATGTACGTACTTCAATGTGACATTCTGTTTGGCATGCGCATACTTAAATGTGACATTCCGTTTAGCATGTACGTTCTTCAATGTGACATTGTGTTAGGCATGTACGTACTTCAATGTGACATTCTGTTTGGCATGTACGTACTTCAATGTGACATTCTGTTTGGCATGTACGTACTTCAATGTGACATTCTGTTTGGCATGTACGTACTTCAATGTGACATTCTGTTTGGCATGTACGTACTTCAATGTGACATTCTGTTTGGCATGTATGTACTTCAATGTGACATTCTGTTTGGCATGTACGTACTTCAATGTGACATTCTGTTTGGCATGTACGTACTTCAATGTGACATTCTGTTAGGCATGTACGTACTTCAATGTGACATTCTGTTTGGCATGTACGAACTTCAATGTGACATTCTGTTTGGCATGTACGTACTTCAATGTGACATTCTGTTTGGCATGTACGTACTTCAATGTGACATTCTGTTAGGCATGTACGTACTTCAATGTGACATTCTGTTTGGCATGTACGTACTTCAATGTGACATTCTGTTTGGCATGTATGTACTTCAATGTGACATTCTGTTAGGCATGTACGTACTTCAATGTGACATTCTGTTTGGCATGTACGTACTTCAATGTGACATTCCGTTCGGCAGATATACTCCATCTTAATTCCCAAGGTTTCAGATGATCCATCTTCACGTGTGACAACCAACTTGGGAGTCGAAGATAGGCATACACTTCAGTGGGACATTCCATTTGATAATATTCTTCAAATATCAGTATTCAAAGCAATATTAGTGTCTGTTATTGCCAACTTGAACAATTTGTAAACAAATTCAATGCCAAAGAATTATCAAGTCTCGTAGATTATTGCCAAATGATTGTAAACGAATCCTTATAAAAGTTGTTGACAATAAATAGACGCATGTAATGAATTTATTGGCCGTTAACATTTATTTTTGTCTTTTCCACTAAATTGTATCAAAGAGGGAAACACCCAGAATTCATATCTATGGACCTATACAACTCCATACTCCATTCACCCTCTGCACACCATGTGGTAGAAGAGGGAGGCTCATCGTTGAACTCTGGGGTATTCCCCATATCGATCGATGACAGAAAAGCCCCTTACATCAATGAACAATTACAAATAAATATAGTTCTATTTGAAATTAGATTAAACTGTCAGTTCAGTGTGTTTTAGTGAAAATGTGAAAATAAAGAATATCGATGTTGCACTCTGGGAGCCAATCCTCCTTGTAATAGTCAATGACTTAAAATATCAACATACATCCACAAATGTTGTAACCTTTGTACTCATTAATTATTTTTCATGACATTTGGTTCATATGCACTCTTTTAAATAGAATATATTTGAACGTCCGATTTTTTGGCCCACCCTGTATTTGATTAAAACAATTCAAAACAAAACTAGAAAACATGGAATAAAGTTATATATCTTGTGGGAAATCCACAATTGAACGTAGGCTTCGGTTTCACTGATTAGGGTGTATTAACGTAAAATGTGGGATACGGTAACCAGTAGTTACGTGTTATTCATTCCGAGTGGAAGCTTCCCCGAGCGCAAAGGTTGGCTAAAAATTAACGCGAATCTCACTTTTAAGAAGCGAAGTCGAACAAATGGAAGTGGTAAGTGCAAGCTGTCATGCGCGTTGGAATGTGGAGTTTTTAACAATAATGGTAATGTGAAACGAATAATATTTCAACGAATTGATTCGGTATTTGAACCTTTTATGGAAAACAATCAATTTATTTGTTGAGTAAAGGTGAAAAGGAAGGTTTGATTATTTATGACGTTGAACATCCAGATTGGATGGACTTATCCAAAGGTATTGCTTTTTCCTGTCACTTATCTTGAAGTATCACCCTTACTTAGATCGCTCTTCCTTCTAGCGGCAATTTGTCTACAGCATTGTCGTGTTTTGATATAATTCCATCTCCTAGTACCCAAGGGTTTACACGATGTTAAACTCATCGCATGAGGATTATTTAGTTTCTACAAAAGCAGATCATTACGTTATCAGGATTTCAATAAGAGTTCTTTTCAACTTTCATCAGCTTTTATATTAATGGAGACAAATTCCGTGACTAAACAAGGATTTCTTTACTTCAGTTGTCTATTCCGACTCAATTTTTCACATAACTAAAACAATTTAATAGTTAATTAAAGATAAATAAACAGAATGTATCATAATATGTTGTTATATTTTATATAGTTAAATACAAAGTAATGTTTCATTCAATGATATTGTACCAAACCCTGCACGCATTATCCCTGAAATACAATCAGTTTAGTAAATGAGTAGGTCATGTGTGGGGAGCGTAAATTACAAACAAGCTCATATAGTACCCCACACACTAATTAGTCACAACTGTCGTTTCGAGAAATGCATTTAGATGGTGATAGACTGCATAATGTATATAACTACTGTTGATTAATCAAGTTTTATGGACACAAACGCAATCTTTCTGACGTCTCCGAGAAATAGCACATCCTGATTGGTCAGTTTTCTCACCATCATTCCCTTTTCTTGTGGTTGTGTGCGGAACTGAAGCAGAAATAAAAAAAAGTGTATGGATAGTCGGAAAAGCAATTTACTACCTAATTTAGAGCTTATTTAAGGGTATTAACAAACTGTTGTTTTAATATGATTGCAGCAGTAAGTTTAATTCAACCGCAAAATAGTCACTTTCATTCTTAGGATATTATGCATGCCAAACGTCGACACTTTGCACTTTTCGATGTTCTGTGTCTTGCTTGTTTCTGTTCACTCTCATTCCTGCCATTCATCATTTCTCATTGACACCCTCCCTTCCTTGCATCCTTCATATCTTCCTTGCATGTCCTATATTTTCATTACATCCACATTTCCCTCCAGGCTCCTATAACCTCGCCCCCTCAATCCTTACCTCTTCAAAACTTGTCAGATTCGTTCTGGTAAATTATATAAAAATACCAATTCAAATCATTGGCTTTCTGAAAAATAAAATGTTTTAACCATTGTATAATTAATACCACATATAAATGATTTAATTGAAGCAAGTTCTTTTAACATCCCTTCCCTCCTCCCCTCTCCAGGTCATTATGCGGGCAATAGGAAAGTATGAATCGTTAACAAAAACCTGGCAAAATTTTAACGTTATTTGAGTTGGATAATCTCAAGAACTGAACATAGGTGAATTTAAAGTTCCTTGGAAGAAATGTTGAAGTATGGGCGAATACAATTGAAAAAAAGAAAGAGTCCTCAATTCCAAAACGTATTTCAAACTTATCTTATTACATAAGTCATTATTTGTAAACTGGCTGTCGTATAAATCATTAAACATTCGCTAAGGATTTAGAGGATATAGCTACACTGTAAGATGCAGGCCCATCAGATAATTTTCATCCATCGGAGAGCGGTTTTTACTAGAATGAAAAAACTTTTCTGCAACATAAATTTAGAATTTTTTTTCAATTAATTTTTGGACCGCGAGGGATGGCCCACTTCTCAAGAAAATTTTACTAAAATACTATTTGGTGATTTCGGAATAGTGTATGAGTCAAAAAAGAAATAAAAAAAATCTTTTTAAAACTATTTCAAAATTATTTTTTTCAAAACGCACCCCTCCCCCATCTTACGGACCTGAGATGATGTCACTGTAAATTATGCTTTTGTTACAGATCCTTGGCATCGAGGTTCCCGTTAGAAAAGAACTGAGAAGCTCACATTCGTCACACCTGCTGAACGCTGAGGAAACGCTAGCAATGAGGGAGAAAAGGATGGCTGAGGAGGAAAATGAAGACGATGATGTCTTCTACGGTCTACCTCCGGAACTGAAAGAACAAATTAAAGCCCATCCAGATATTGAATGCGAGATTCGATTTAAACTGCAGCCATATCCGAGTACAGGTGAGTACAACATTTTCATTGAATAGAAATAGATTCTGTCATCCCCCTAACATAAGAGCAACCGGGTGCTGCGCGCTATATTGGGAATCAGGAGACTGCATGCCATCCTGTCCATCTATTAAATATCTCTCAAAGGGTGAAATTTGGATAATTATTTCCCCTTGAGAAAAATGTGAATATTCGCAGTTATCTATGCATATTTGGGAAGATTTTATTTCAGTTTAGGTGCTATAAAACATCCGTTTGTCAAAGAAACTGGCTGCTAATTTTACCCTTTGTACACCGTAATCGCTAAATTGTAGTTGCGAATTTATATAGCTAGATTTCTTTACAAATAGCAAAATTATTCCATTTTATCCCCTTGTCATCGGAACTTATTACGTTTAAATAGCAGGCCCCTTGATGCCATACATTTTGATTTCCCAAATGCAGAATGCAGCTTTCTTGCCTGCTCTAATCCAAGTGTCGCTCTTTTTCGGGAAATGCATTGTGAATTTGATGCAGAAATAATTGAGTCCAAATACTAAGTTGCTCTGGAAGTAATATTTCAAAGTATGCATTTTCATTTTGTCTTTTCTTCATCGTTTTTGTGTCCAGTGCTTAGAAAAGTAACTATTCTTAGAGACCCTGGCATCATAGACGTATGACCTCCATATACTGATATCAGATATTTGGTAGTTTCAATACGCAAAAGTTGAACAAAAAGCAATGATCATAGTTCTTCATGAAAATTAAACCAATACAATGTATATCAATTTGATTGATTAAACTATATAGATAAACATCGAGGTTAATATTATTCAAATAACTGGGGAGATAAATGATTCGGCTTACTCTTGACAACCAATGATTATTTTCCATCGGCCTACATTGTCAATTATAGTCATACCTGTTTTTCGCTTGTTACTATTGTGTTGGCAAGGTATTGCGGTAACCTTGGCAAAATACGCCAATGAAAGTGTCATGGCGACCACGAAACACAATGACAAGCAACAATGCAAAAATGGAAATCTATCTTAGCATCTAATACACAGATGCAGATCGGATTGCTTATCCGCAAGATAATTTACGGGAAAATTGTTTTTAATAACTGCTTCCATTCGTGGGGATATGAAGCTGAATTTTATAAACATGTGTTTTTATTAGCTTTAACACATTTCGCAATATCCAATAATTGAACTCAGTTGCATGCATCATTGATTTGCCCATTGGAAGGATAGGTTTTATTACAATTTGTCTAAACGTGGAAAAGAAATAGCTTAATTTTTAATTAAAAGTATATAAGCGATACAATAAACAACCTAATAAAGATGCAATCGTTTTAAAAAACGTTTACATAACATAAAGGTTGCACAATTTAAATCCTCACAAAGTAATATATTTTATTTTACCCATCATAAAAGTAATTCTGTTATAATTAAGAATAACAGTTCCTATAAACTTCAAGATTGGATTTCGTCTGTTCCACATCATTTGAGACTGGATGCTCTATATTTTATGAATACTAGTATCTACAACTAATTTTGATCTTTTGGCTAACAATTTTAAAATTCTTCAACACGTATTGTAATGACTTCAGTATTAATGAAATGTCTTTTGGTGTTATGGTCTTATGGTCTAAGGTGTTATTGTGATGTTGGTACTTGAATGGTGGGGTTGGTCTATCAGAGTGTTTTAGACCACGAATTCACACTTTTTAATGACATATTTTCTCTTGTGTCTTGTGTGTTTAGGGAATGTCCTTGATGGAATAATACCGATTTGCGAACAACTATAATGTTAAATTTCATATAAATATGAGTGTCAAGCAAAATATAATTTATCTTTCAAACACAGATAATCATTATAATCTGATGCACAGGGAATACCTATTGCGATTTGTTTGTGATTGTGATTTTAGTAAAGCTTTTGGTTCTGTAAAATGCCCGATGTCTTATGGGATATATCAATCCTCTTCATCGGTTGATTATAATTCCATACAGTTGATTTAGAACACAAGTGATGTATAGATGGAATATCAATAAACGACTCTGATATTCCAACCAGAGAGAGAGAAAGATGATATTACCATTAGATTCACTACTTCAGTCACAAAACACAGGTGAAATATAAATATTTGTGTCCGATAGTGGGTATACGTTTAATTAGTAATGTTCCGGATATTACGCCATACTTTATGAGAGAGATAAGATGATGACATGAAAAAATACCGAGTGAAGACTGTTCTGGTACTCATCACGTCATTTTTTATTCTGATACCACGATGATGCAGTATACCCCTACACGTGGGCATGTTCGACTTGTGCTAAATTAACCAGGTCCTCATGTTTAGAGAAACACTCGCCCAGTAAACCCTGAAAATGTGACAAAATCAATGGTGTGTATAGTAGGCTTAAGTTTATTTACTGTGGCCATTTGAGGTATGTATGTAAAGTTGAGGCCAAGTACTTTCTAAATGTGCTATTTTTAGAAAAGAAATCGCAAGAATATAGTCCCGTAAACTGGAACTACTTTATTCGTTAATTTTCATCGGTGAAGCGGGAATTTTACCTAAAAATGAGTCCCTATGTTGGCGTAGTGATATTTAAAAATCGAGACGCAAACCCTATGTTAAATATTGTGTCGAGATGAAGGTTATGTATAGGGGAACGCAGAAATATAGTCATTGGCCAAACTGGCCTAATTGTATTAGGCTAATACGTCACTTCCGAAAAAAAGTAATTTAAAAAATGAATGTAGTCCCAACACAATTGTGATCATGACGAGTTAGTAAGCTAGTATGTAGGTACAGCAAGGGAAAGATCAATACCCGGTGATTTCAGCGGGAAGTGGCGTTTCGTTCAGTGGATGAGCTGCGCGCGCACGCATAAATGTGATTATCCAATATAATTAGGGGAGGGCTATTTGAAATAGTTTTTGGTCTCAGGCGCGACCCAGGGCTGTTGTCTTAAGGACATTTCGTTGAAAATGAGCCATTCGGCTGATAATTGGTAAGAGTTTGCGATCTTATAATGTATAACTGTAACTCAGACACATATTTTGACACGATTCTGTTGGAAATAAGCTTTGAACCGAGAGATATTCACGATTGATATGCACATTTTTGATTGTGCCATTGCTTTTCCATTGCACAATCCATGTATTGATAGAAGAAACATTAATAATGCAGATTGGTTTACCTTCAATACATGGCAGACACTACATATCGGTCTATTAATACCAGTTTGTGCCTTAAATAGTTTTATATTTCCATCCACGGCCTGGAGCCTGGGTGTGTTTGTCTCTTATGTGTATGCTTGTGCATGGACTTCTAATCACTAGCAGAATTTAACATGATGCAAACTCGACATTATAACTCATGCTGTAACATTTTGACTTCGCTGGAAAACAATAGGAATTATTTTTCTTGCCAATCAATCATGAATCACAATCAAAATTTCAGAATGATCAATCAGGCAATGGTCCAAATCAAGTTATAACATTATGTGATATTCAGCAAGAAGTCCGGTAGAAATACAGAATATTTAAACATCAAAGCTGAAAGTTAAAAGCTAATCTGTCAATTTTCTGTCTGCAAAAGAGGGTTCACATTTGACACAATAACAGACTGAGGCTTTGAAATCTAGGATTCCCCAGGGAAATATGACGTCATACTAATTAGCATAAGGATTTCCCTATTGGTATGGGTCGAGCCTTGTTCGAAAACACAATCCATAAATACATGCTAATTTCTAAGGAGATAGGAAGTGTATAACGTGTTTATCGATTTTGTTTAAAGATTTAATCAATTATCAAATTGTTTAAGTGGATAAAGTGGTCAAACTTGCTTCAATTCATAGCGAAATCGACGGATAGAAACTGACCGAATTCCCGATATCCTACCCCGTATTACTGTAGGCTATAAGCACAGTGACCTACAGAGGGCGCTTTCACAAACAAGTACTGCACGAACCGATAAATTCCCGGGTATTGTAACGCCCTTGGGTACAGTTGTCATCTTTTTGCAATGACAACATGCCATTTCTTCTGAAAATGCGTTTATTTGGGTTATCTGAAATTTCGAGTCAAGTGGCGTATTAATTTTGCCTTGATTTTTGTGAATTTAAATTTCTGTCGGCAGAGAGTAGTGTCACAATTGAATAATTATTTCAAAAAGTAGATGTTTGGCCCCTATTGAGTTTTGTGTCAAAATGTAGCTTAGACATAGCTTTAGAACCTCAGATAGGCCAGTGAGGCCACATAAATCCATAACTCGAGATAAAAAGTCAGGCCGGTTTTGCCCGTTTGCCCATTGACTAGTATGGTGACGTGAATTAGGGCAGTTTGGCCATTGTATGGGCTAATTCGTTCGAAAATGGCGATATGTACCCCAGAACTTTGTACCCCAGAATTTTGTGATTTTTCAATATTTTTCAATGATTTACCGTAGTGACACCTTATTTGCCACTCATAATAATTAGTCTTCTAAAAGTGCATTTTGATAATAAAATAAAAAACGGTTTGAAATTAAGGGTATGATCATTGAAATCAAAACAGGTTGAATGGAACAGTCTAGCCAGAAGCAGTCAGAATCAGATTACTTAAGAGTTTGCTGCGCTGCTTTGGAAGCAACAACATCTTCCAGTTGCCTGACTAAACCTGTTAATATTCAATTTAACGCCATGTAATCTGTTCCGACTTAGCCACCTGGTGGTGAAACTAGTAACTACTGGCACTGATAATTGGACACAAGGCATTTTCCAGCAAGGGAATATACTTTTCCTACTGAGCTACTGGCACTAAAGAGTATAATAAGCCTTCTTTAATGTATATACCTTAACGAATCATAAAAACAAGTCGGATCAGGTTCAATCATGAAAAAGCAATAATTGACACGTTTCGTATGTCAAGGCCTGCCTTGGTGTAAAATTAATAGCGTAACACAAGGAAGCGCAATACTAGAACATGGCTTCAAAAAGGCTAATGATATGGTTATTGGTAGTTTTCTAAAATCTGGATCTCCAAGTTGAGGTCTAAACCAGTCTGAACAAACACGTATGAAAGGACGGATGGGAGTAAAAATAAATCGAAGGGAGGGGGGTTGAAAAGAAAGGTGGAGAGGATGGTTGGATGGGAAGAGTGGTGGGGGGAGAAGAAAGTTTAATGGAGGGTAGGGAGGATGGGTCGAAATGAAGGATGCATGGAGAAGAATGGTTAATTGAGGTTAGAGAGGATGGCTTGAAAAGGAGGTTGCGTATAGAATAATGGTTAATTATGGTTATGGGAGGGTAGTGAGGTTGGCTTGAAAGGAAGGGTGCAAAGAGAAAATGGTTGACTGAGGGTAGAGAGTATGGCTTGAAGGGAAGGATGCATAAATAAGAATTGTTAATTAAAGGTAGAGAGGATGACTGGAAAGCAAGGATGCATGGAGAAGAATGGTTATTGGGGGGTAGTATGGATGGCTTGAAAGGAAGGGCACATGGAGAAGAATGGTTAATTGAGGGTAGAGCAGATGGCTTGAAAGGAAGGGTACATGGAGAAGAATGGTTAACTGAGGGGAGTAAGGATGGCTTGAAAGGAAGGGTACATGGAGAAGAATGGTTAACTGAGGGTAGAGAGGATGGCTGGAAAGAAAGGGTGCATAGGGAAGAATGGTAACTGAGGGTAGAGCAGATGGCTTGAAAGGAAGGGTACATGGAGAAGAATGGTTAACTGAGGGTAGTGAGGATGACTGGATAGGAAGGGTGTATAGAGAAGAATGGTTAATTAAGGGTGGAAGGATGGCTGGAAAGAAAGGGTGCATAGAGAAGAATGGTAACTGAGGGAAGAGCAGATGGCTTGAAAGGAAGGGTACATGGAGAAGAATGGTTAACTGAGTGTAGTGAGGATGGCTTGAAAGGAAGGGTGCATAGAGAAGAATGGTTAATTGAGGGTAGAGCAGATGGCTTGAAAGGAAGGGTACATGGAGAATAATGGTTAACTGAGGGGAGTAAGGATGGCTTGAAAGGAAGGGTACATGGAGAAGAATGGTTAACTGAGGGTAGAGAGGATGGCTGGAAAGAAAGGGTACATGGAGAAGAATGGTTAACTGAGGGTAGAGAGGATGGCTGGAAAGAAAGAGTGCATAGAGAAGAATGGTAACTGAGGGTAGAGCAGATGGCTTGAAAGGAAGGGTACATGGAGAAGAATGGTTAACTGAGGGGAGTAAGGATGGCTTGAAAGGAAGGGTACATGGAGAAGAATGGTTAACTGAGGGTAGTGAGGATGGCTGGATAGGAAGGGTGTATAGAGAAGAATGGTTAATTAAGGGTGGAAGGATGGCTGGAAAGAAAGGGTGCATAGAGAAGAATGGTAACTGAGGGAAGAGCAGATGGCTTGAAAGGAAGGGTACATGGAGAAGAATGGTTAACTAAGTGTAGTGAGGATGGCTTGAAAGGAAGGGTGCATAGAGAAGAATGGTTAATTGAGGGTAGAGCAGATGGCTTGAAAGGAACGGTACATAGAGGAGAATGGTTAACTGGGGGTATTGAGGATGGCTTGAAAGGAAGGGTGCAAAGAGGCGAATAGTTAACTGAGGGTAGTGAGGATGGCTTGAAAGGAAGGGTGCATAGAGAAGAATGGTTAACTGATGGCAGTGAGGTTGGCTTGAAAGGAAGGGTGCATAGAGGAGAATGGTTAACTGAGTGTAGTGAGGATGGCTTGGAGGGAAGGGTGCATAGAGGAGAATGGTTAACTGATGGCATTGATGTTGGCTTGAAAGGAAGGGTGCATAGAGGAGAATGGTTAACTGAGTGTAGTGAGGATGACTTGAAAGGAAGGATGCATAGAGGAGAATGGTTAACTGAGTGTAGTGAGGATGACTTGAAAGGAAGGGTGCATAGAGGAGAATGGTTAACTGATGGCAGTGAGGATGGCTTGAAAGGAAGGGTGCATAGAGGAGAATGGTTAACTGAGTGTCGTGAGGATGACTTGAAAGGAAGGGTGCATAGAGGAGAATGGTTAACTGAGTGTAGTGAGGATGGCTTGAAAGGAAGGGTGCATAGAGGAGAATGGTTAACTGAGTGTCGTGAGGATGACTTGAAAGGAAGGGTGCATAGAGGAGAATGGTTAACTGATGGCAGTGAGGTTGGCTTGAAAGGAAGGATGCATAGAGGAGAATGGTTAACTGAGTGTAGTGAGGATGGCTTGAAAGGAAGGGTGTAGGGAATGGTGGAGGGTTGGTGAAATGTAGGTAGGCTTGGAGGATGGAAGAAGAAGAAGAAGAAGAAGAAGAAGAAGAAGAAGAAGAAGAAGAAGAAGAAGAAGAAGAAGAAGAAGAAGAAGAAGAAGAAGAAGAAGTAGAAGAAGAAGAAGAAAAAGAAGAAGATGAGGAGAAGAGTGGGTTAAAGTGAGAAAGAAATAATGAAAGGAGAAAAGACAGAAACAAACGGCGCAAGTGTGGACGTTTTCTTAATCTTTGATTACTTCCATACGTCAAATCCAGGGCATATCTAAGGATACTTCAAAAAGTAGTACACTTCTCACGTTTCAACACAGGACAAAGAAAGGTCAATGATGCGTGGATTTATAGAAGCAGTCGCAATGTTAAGTAGATTTTTATATAAAACTACAGAGATAGCGCTTTATTTTTAGTACCTGCTATTATTTAGTAGCCTCAACTTGTCACCTAAACAAGGGTCCCCAATTACGAACGGATTAGATAATCTGAAATACCCTTCAGATCAGTCATCATTATTCACCTCCTTAGCCCGCCATTAGAAACAACTGATGCATACCATTATGAACCTATTAATCCAAATGAAATAAGTCACGCGGACTCTTTGATCGAGGTAATTGGGAATTGTTTCTACAAAGACTAAAGGAAGAACAGTTTGTAAAGGATGGGTATCGATATGGCGAACTTTTTGAACACACGTTTCTCTTAAACCAGTCATCAAAAGATTCTGAAAATTTTACACAGTGTCAATTTAATGGTTATCTTTTGAATGGTAACACTATAAATTGAAAAATATTTATATACTTTCATCTATATTGTTTTAGAAAACACATCAAACACTTGTTTTGTTCTTGGTATCATGTTTCCAAAGTGAAATGAAACATCTTTCCGAACCTCATTGGAACAAAACGACATAAAAACAACATGTTTAGGTCTCTCAATATTGTAATTGTACAAAGGAAATTTTGGTTGATTTTAAAAAAGTATCTTGTTAATGAAATAAAAGGTTTATCTCGATTTTTATCTATTTTGGGGGATTTTGTTTTAATTTTTTGAATACTTTTTTTAAAATCAACCAAAAATTGTATATGCTATTTTGTTCCAACAAGGTTCGGAAAGACATTTTATTTCATTCTCAAGAATTGGTAGAAAGGAGCAAAAACAATTGCACTAAAAAACAAAAAATGTTAACAAAAACAGTTAGAGAAAATTTTCGCATTAAATTGTTGTCAATCAGTCAACATTGCATAAATTACTGTGTTTTTTACAGAATGTTTTCAATGATTGGTTTAAGAGAAAAACATTGTTGAATTCAGTTCTCCATATCGATACCTATCCTTTGCATTGTTAGCCTTTATAAAAATGAAACAAAGTAATCTAATGACAATTTTAATAGTCACATTTAGGCGAAGGAAAACTAGTTTGAATTCCAAGCAGAGAGCGTCGTGATAGATTTCATTAAAAACATACGAAACTAGGAGTTATCCTCGCGTAATATCTATAACTGGAAAATAATCATAATGATCTGAAGATGGATATTGTCAAATGTGTTGCTTGCTTACGATGTCAAATAGGAAGTCGGAAAACTCGTAGGAGATGTGCCTTGAACAATCGCCGGTGATGTTACGCAAGGAACGAATTCACGTGGGAGATAGAGCAAAAACGGGGCCTGTTAATACACCCGAGTGGTGTTTACAACTGAATGAAATCAATAGAGGTTTGTTTTATATGTTAATATGTTTGTATTATTCATTTAGTAGAAAAACATTCAGATCAAAGGAGTCGATATAATTCATCACTGAATTACAACTTCTCACTTTTGAATTATTCAATTTGAATACAACGTTGCTCATATATTGAATATTGGTCACTTCTGGAACATTTGTAGATTTCCTTAACTGTTGGTATTAAATTGGTTCCATGCATCCAACACAATGATGCAAATATGAAAAAAACAAAGAAGTGTTGTTGACAAATCAAAAAGAATCAATATAAAAAGATCCGTTTGGTCTGAAGAATATGGTATTTTACATTTTAGTTTCTTGGGATTGAACCGTCAAAATTGTTGAGATTTTGTTCCGGATAAATTTTGAAAATAGGAAGATTAAGCTTGCATATAAATCGGAACGAAAACGTAACGTATCAATCGCCCATATACATTGCATGTAGTTTTCTCGCTTAATCAACCGCTTCAGTGTTTACTTAGACCACACCGCAACATGTTATATGCCATTGGTAGTTCTATAGCTGGTTTTCTGATACCTTTCTAAACAAGATCGTTTGGAAAGATATTTGGAACAAAAACATGCATGATATATAAGTACATCATCTTCTCCAAAAAATATTCCTCTTTGCATCGAAATCAAAATTGCCAGCATAGTATTCAATGGACACGATTACAATGATTTCCGTTGATACCAATGCTCAAAACACGAACGGGTATTGAAGTAGACGAAAGCGCCTACAAAAGTATGGTCGCAACATACATTCCGATTCTTTTTATTGTTCAGGTTTACGTAGTTGTGAAAAACAGTGCAAGCTTAACCTCCCTTATATTTGAAAACGTCCCCTTCGTTTAATTTTTTTAGCACGTGAGTTGCAATCTATTTAATCATGGAAAATTGACAAATAAATTCTCAGAAACTTTTAGCAAGAACGAGTGGACAACATGTTTTAGATTGTTGGTAGACATTTATCTATATTTTTAATTTTCCACTAGTATATTTATAATTTGCAAAAATTGACATTCTCTAATTTCATCAGGTATATCCGTAAAGTAGAGTAAAAACTCGAAAATTTTAACTTCTTGGTCACCCTGTATATCAGTAGTTCATTGATGTGCGAAGACGGCCCAATATCTTTAAAATCTAAAAGCTCCTCAATGACAGAATTTTTATCAACTTTTAGCTAATCAGTGGTACAATTAACTTCAGATGAATCTCTCAAAAACAGACATTTAAGAAGTTGAGGGAATAATTTGTATTTGTCAAAATGAGAAACGAGATGGACATTTTCTCATAGGGGAATAGTGTAATGAAATCTTGAACTGAGTCATTTCTCTCACGTATATATTTGTGAAAGCATTATCTCTTGATTTACAGATAAGCCTTTATTCCATTATTTATGTGTTATTTCAGCAAATATTCACAGATTGGATTGTCGTCCATTCTCTTTTATTTTCTAGATAAATGAAGACATTGATCTTTATTGCACTGCCGGGTTTCCTCTTCATGACGTTATTCTTCATATTCCCACGTCATGTGTACTCTTGTACGTAATGGGATTTGCAAAATGCTAAAAAGCAAACGATGCAATAGAAGGTGAATATGTTCACATCTTAGATGTGTCTTTGGTTGATACCAATTAGTATTTGATTTTGATTGTATTATTGTTGAATGCGTCACTAAATTCATCAAATTTTAATTTAAATAGTTGTTCCGATCTATTTTCCAAAGGATATCAATTTTAACCATAATTACG